TGTCGGTATATAGGCCGCTACGCACTGCACTGGTGCGTAGTGGCGCAAGACTATAATGCTGTTTTCGACTATTTCACTCACTACTAATTTGATTCGATACATACAACATTAGAATGATCTGAATCATTCGAATGATTCCATTTGACATTTCGAGATATCTCGAGTGATTGCAATAATCGAATGACTGATTATTTTTAGTTCGAATGATCCCGTCACTAATGCTGACATTGACAGCGTATAACCTCGATACATCTCCAACTCTCTTTGCGTCGATTAAGCCACACGTGTCTCTCACTCTTACACACACGCGCATACACCTTTATATGAAACATCAATTCTTCCCAAAATCTAAGGACATTTTCCTATCTTCAACATGATAACGACGTTACCATTTCCCTAACATTCTACGGAAATAAAAAAATGTGGTCAAGTATATTGAATGAGTCAATTTCAGGCCCGACAAAACAACCACTATAAACATCAACAATTCGCAGTTACTTCCAATATTCCACGTTGGTGTCGAGACTAAGGATAACGTCTACCACGTCGACGTCCTGGTTTCGATTTACATAACGGTAAACTTTTTTTAATTAGGATCACGTGATTGGTCCGTGACAAGGGGGCTTGAGCGGTGAGGCGGAGTACTAAGGAGCCTACGCTCTTTGAATCCTGGATCGATTACGTCTCACGTTTCTCTACCCCCAATCTGGTTTGACCTAAAAATTGCAAAAAGTTTAACTCTATTAGAAAATACATGGGATTTTGCGCTCGTACCCGCCTTACTCCTCTACTGGATTTGAATTTCCCACTGTACGCGCGGTAGCTTCTGATTAGTCGACTGTATGATGGTGAAAGTGGAGGTGGTCTGAAGTGGGCTTTGAAGGCTAAGGCCTAGTTCACACATAATGGACGTCTGGCAGAGACGAGGCGCTGACCTTTGTCCCTTCAGTGTGCACTGGGCCTGAGGTCCAAAAAGGTCCAGAGTGGACCTTCTCAAATTTGCACATGTTTTTCCATAAAGAATGATCTAGAACTCCTATAGCTATATTACTAAAACAACGCTTGAAATGAGCGACGAGCGCTTGAAAAGATCGAAACAACGCTTGAAACGGGTAAAATAGCGCTTGAAACTTCCGAAACGTGTGAAATGGCTATGTTTTTTCAAGTTATGTTTCCAATATTTATACTTCATACTCAAGGACTGTTTCGGCATAGTCGCGAAGGAATTACATTACTTCATTGGAAAAAAATCCAAATCTGTCCTTGGCTGAACATGCAGAACAGGCGCAAGCTACACCCAGCCTGTATATACTATAAAGTAATTACGAATAAAACTCCCCCTTACCTACTGCGTAAAATCTCATTCCGAGAAGATGTCCACAACATTAACATTAGGTACAAAGGAACTGTTACTCCACCCTCTCATCGAACTGACATATTTAGACGGTCTTTTTCGTATCAAGTTTCACTTATCTATAATTCCATTCCATCTAATATAAAGAGTCTAAATATCAAATTATTTTTTTTTAAATTCGTACATAGTACATAGTACATGATACCATCTGATCTCCGGCGATTTCCTACACTTACATCTACTCTGTTACTAATTGTATTGTATGTATGGGAAATAAAGCCCCGATACATTCGGGAGGGCGCGCCAGCATTATCAACCAATGACCACTTCCCACACCGTGGGGTTAGTGATCCTTGGGTCCGAGAATCATGTGCCCTGAGCAAGCGCAGTGAGCCAGCCTTCTGCATCTATGCCGCTAAGATTTCTGCCTGATCTGGATAGAGTCTGCGGAGTTCGAAGAGAAAAATCTCGATAAGAGTGCCGTAAATGGTAATATAGCACTCTTAGGGCCCCGTTATGTCGATGGATATAGGCCGAGACCGCATATGCTGGACCTGCTGATAGCAAGTGCATTAGGGTCTCGGGCGCCTCGCGGCAGGTCCTGCCCCTTGTGTCAGGAACCTCTATATCCATCACGCGACTATGGTAGACTAAGGTGTTGAAGACACCATCCTGGCAAGCCATGATGAACCACTCAGTTTTCAACTTTAGCACACTCGACCTGAGAAAAGCGAACGTCAGGCGCTTTGATAAGCCAAGGTCTCCAATGTTATTGAAGAAGACCCCCATACATTGGCTTATCCTTGTGTTTTAGCAAAAGTAAGGTGATCTCTGCAGCTTTTATCTAAGCTTTTTTCTGAACGGGTTCCAACTCGGTGACAGAATTGGGGTCACCTCGTTAAGGACCGAGTTCATCAGCTGCTCGGGCAGCTGCCCCAAAGAGAAATGCTCCAATTCCTGCTCTCTTGTAGTCACGGTCCATGCCTAGAAGGGAATCCAAACTCCTGACAACTTTACAGGCTTTATCCAGTACTATTCTGTCATGTAGATACTTCAAACTCAAAAGTCCACGGTCTCCCTGTTGTCTGGGGAAGTACAACCGTGGAACGCACGATTTGAGATGCAAACTCCTATAGAGATGCATCATTTTTCGGGTCTTTACGTCGAGTTGATACAGTTACTTCAGAGTCCACTTCACTACTCCAAACGAGTAGAGTAAGATTGGAACGGCAAGCATATTTGTTGCAGCAACTTTGTTCTTCCCCGACAGTTTCGATGACCAGATATGTCAAAGTTTGTGCTGATACTTGCCGCGGAGTTGAGTTCTTCACTTGAGTTCTTCACTGTTGTTACCTCTTGTGAGTGGTGTTGTTCCACCGCGAGGTAAGTATACGTCCCTCCGGCATCCAGATGGTGTAGGATGCTTCCCCGCATCGTCCTTTTTTGAGATGGACCATTGCACATTTGTCTATCCCGAATTTCATACCGATAACATGCGTGTACTCTTCCACCACCCTCAAGGACTGATGGAGATCCTTCTCTCCAGAGGCATAAAGTTTAAAATCGTCCATATAAAACAAAGGGGTGACCTTGTGCCTCCGGTTTCCTGGGGTGCCACAGATATACCCTCGAGTATTTCTGAGCACAACGGATAATGGCAAAAGTGATATGGAGAAGAGAAGGAGACTAAGGGAATCACCCTGAAATACACCCCTTCTGAAAGTGACCCACCCTGTTTGGACACTTGCTTGACCAGATGTTATGGTGAAGCGAGTTAGCCAAAGTGGTATCAGTTGTTCAATGAATCTCACTATTTTGTCGGGTATCGCAAGGCACCTAAGCAAGTGCAAGATGAGCTCATGTGAAATTGTATCATATGCCTTACAGTAATCGATCCAGGCCATAGAGAGGTTACGCTTATATTGTATCGAGTACTGCGTTACACATCTATCGATTAGCAGGTTCCCTTTACATCCAGCGACTCCTCTCTTCGACCATCTCTGTTCATATATCCGTTCGAACACTCGCTGTAGTGGATACAAGAATAACCAGAATTGAGAATGTCCTTTCAGCACCAAACAACAGGTGTAAGAATATAAAATTCACATATGAAGTAGAAAAAGAACGAAAGTTGCCGTTTTTAGATGTATTGGTCATAAGGAACGAACAGAACGAAATAGAATTTGACATTTACAGGAAAGACACGGGCACTTTCAGATAAATTCCCAATGACTCGAATCATTGTCCACTGCAATTTCGGCACTGCAATTTCTGGTGCACAGATTAATAACTTTTCCTTTAAAGAAAGTACGATAATGAAAAAAGAGTGATTCGGTATGTAGCTGAAGCAAACGGTTTTAACCCAGATATAGTTGACATGATAATTAGAAAATGCAAGTTTTCAACAGATATTCGATAAAATAAATATGAAAGTTGCATATAAAACTTCTTATAAATTGCAACAGCTTCTTGGTAATCCAAAAGATAGACTAGAAAACACATAAAGGTCGGGTATTTACGAAATCAGCTGTCAAGATTGCAACAGCAAATACATCGGCCAGAGCCGACGAGCGATTAAAACCCCCTTCAAGGAGCATTGTGCACACATGAAATACGGAAGGATAGAAAAATCCAGTGTCGCCCAAAGGCCCGCTCCTCTTCGTTGCTTATGGAAGTGATCTTGCTCTTCATATAAAGTCCTGCAAGACGGTTCATGCCGATGATACTAAACTGTATGGTAATGCCTTAGTTGAACATCAATTTCTCCAAGAAGACCTCAACTCGATTAGTCAGTGATGTGAGGATTGGTTCTTACCTGTTAACGTCGACAAATGCGTCGTTCTCCATAAAGGAAAGAACAATCCACTCCACACGTACAATAAACGGTCAATTGTTATGTATAGTGTCCTCACATGTAGACTTGGGAGTGACTATTAATACTGACCTAACTTGGTCCGAACATATTATATCCACATGCAAACGCGTCAACACACTGATCTACCTCATCCGCAAAATGGATCATATTCAAGTAAGTTCTTTAAAATTCTACAAAACCTACGTTCGTCCAATTATGGAGTATGCAGGTCCGGTGTGGTGTCCTGTTTTGGTGCGCGATAAGAACTTGTTGAAAAATGTTCTGCGTTGAGCCACGCGTATGACTTTTGGTGAAGTACATCCAACTTATCCTGAAAGACTGAGGATGACACAACTGATAGCATTTGACCAACTTGGACTCCGTGGGGCCTCATCATATGTTTCCGTATAGCTCAGTATAATTATGCTAATCAGAAAAAACTTTTTGTTTTCAACAATGATTCGCGGTTACGTGATTACACACTCAAATTCAAAAAGGAGAAATTCGTCACAAGGCAGAGAAAATATTTTTTGGTGAATCGTATTTTCGAAACATGGAATAACTTACCCAGCGATGTTGTGAATTCTGACTCGGTGAATAGTTTTGAAAACAAAATAGGCATTTGGTTATTTGCTTAATGGTTTCTATGAATACATTTTTTTTATTTTTGTCATTGTATTAACTTGTTGATCTCTTCAGTTTTTAGGCTTATACAGAACTCTGTCCTCAGCCTTTATTTATATGTAATGATAATGATAATAATAATAATATGCACTTTCTTCTGAATTTCAGCATTCCCAATTCATCGAATAGTAAAAAATCTGTAGCTGGTAGCTCAAAAATTTCTAACGAAGAAACAGATTCTAGAGTGATAGTGGGTATGTATTTCAGCAAAGTTATTAACAGAAATGTAATCAACTTCATACTCATTTTATTTTAGCATTAACGGAAGGAAGGGGAGAAGCAAGATATGAAGTGGGTATCGCTGCTATTAGTGTATCTACGCCTCTGTTGATTCTTTGTCAAATATCTGATACACAAAACTATAATAATACCCTCACGAAACTCAACATATTTAATCCAAATGAGGTATACCTGAATTGAATAGATGTTGAAATGATTCGCAACATATACACTTTTTAGATTTTATTTCCAAACACGCTTCTGGGTCACTTTGCTGGAAGTCGATTGATCGATACAGTCAAGCAACGTTTTCCGAATGTGAAATATGTTGGTGTGCCAAGAAGTACATATAACAAAGTCAATGGTATGGAAATGTTATCTCATCTATGTATCCCTAACTTGAATGGTATTTTGTTGGTTTTGCAGCACAGGTTTGTAATTTATACAAGATACTCTATTGATTTATGTCAATTATGATGATCATATGCAAATCCATTTGAATATACTTTCTTGTGTAAACAAAACCTTATAATTGTACGTCTTTTGAATAATTGACTTCTTTTTGTGCCAACGAAACTTCGATGAGTTAGTAAATTATATAATTTTCGCTTATCAAATGAGATGAAATTACCGAAAAATTAATTTATTTACATAGTTTTTGTCAAAAAAAAACATTTCACGTTTGGAAGAGCTGTATTTTTTGTTTTTGAAACATGGTATTAATTTCAAAATCACTTCGAATAAAAAGTTTTATTGCGGCAGACATCGAAAGAAAAAAATACCCAAACGTTCGATATTCTACACAGAATATTATCTGAGAATTTGCTTCACGATTGATTTACACAGAGTGATTGTTGCACAAATTTTAATCGAATTCTTATGGAAATTACATACCACCTGAAATATTTTAGGATTTTGTGTTTCAATGTGGGGAAGAGGAAAAAATTACCAAAATTTGTTGGTTAATAATCAAGAATATCATAAAATCTAATAAAATGCCAATTCTATTTCGAAAAAAAAACAAGTTGTCAATACATGTAGACAATAATTTTAATATCACGATTATAATTTAAAACGAATTGGCATATGACATATGGCAATTGTGGCTATCACTTGTTCATTACTATACGGGGATTGTATATGTCTGGTCATTGTCAAATTTTTATTGAAATAATTCACAAAAGAACCTGTAATCCATCGCCCTGTGATCCATCACACATTGGAAACGAGCCGCGTGTCGTCTTGCCGACGTGATCTTAGCCTCCATCTTGTGTACACGCCGTTCAATCATCCGAATCGCAAGGCCGGGATTTCGTCCTTCCAATTCGGAAAGCGATTGGACGACGGTATACAAGGCGGTGTTGATTTGCCAGATGTCAGTCTCTTCTGTTAGAACACTATGAACTTCCGCATCCAAACAAGCCAGTTCTTGTGGCTTCAGGGGCCTAATTCTGTGGAGCGCTCTGCGTGTTCTGATTGACTCCATTGGTGGCATGATGCGAGTCTCCTATCCAGCCGTGTCAACGGGTGGTAGAACTGTCACTTCTACCACTTCGTTAGCAGGCTGGGAAGGAGCTGTATAGCCCTGCCGCAGAAGATGGGATCTGTATCTGTATCTGTAGAGTAGGGAGGGTGAGTGTAAGCCCACGCACTTAGGCCACATGTGACCCATTGTACATCCTCCCGAGGAGTTGTCCTCCTAGGTCGTCGTCCATCCTGTCCTTTCCAGGAAGGTGGACAGGTCAAAATATCAGTTTGGTGTTAGGGCAATTGATCTCGAAAAAAGTTATTCATCTATAAACAATGTAAAATTTCATAGACGTTCTCTTTCTTCATTATGAACTATTATTGAAATTGAATATTTGTTGCTGCCATTTGCTTATTGTTCAACAACGTGGTTACGTCAAAGGTAAATCCACCACCAGCAATCTTGTGTAGAAGATTGCTGGTGGTGCATGCACTGTAGTGCATGTGAGGTCCCAGTGAGGAGGTTAACGGACACACTCGGTATTCGGGGCCAACTAAACTTACGGATTGAAAATTACATGACAGATAGAACTTTTACGGTGAAAGTGAGTCACTCTTTCTTCGGACAGACAAGTCACAAATGGAGTTCTTCAGGGGTCTGTTCTTGGCCCGCTCCTCTTCGTTGCTTATGGAAGTGATCTTGCTCTTCATATAAAGTCCTGCAAGACGGTTCATGCCGATGATACTAAACTGTATGGTAATGCCTTAGTTGAACATCAATTTCTCCAAGAAGACCTCAACTCGATTAGTCAGTGATGTGAGGATTGGTTTTTACCTGTTAACGTCGACAAATGCGTCGTTCTCCATAAAGGAAAGAACAATCCACTCCACACGTACAATAAACGGTCAATTGTTATGTATAGTGTCCTCACATGTAGACTTGGGAGTGACTATTAATACTGACCTAACTTGGTCCGAACATATTATATCCACATGCAAACGCGTCAACACACTGATCTACCTCATCCGCAAAATGGATCATATTCAAGTAAGTTCTTTAAAATTCTACAAAACCTACGTTCGTCCAATTATGGAGTATGCAGGTCCGGTGTGGTGTCCTGTTCTGGTGCGCGATAAGAACTTGTTGAAAAATGTTCTGCGTTGAGCCACGCGTATGACTTTTGGTGAAGTANCCAAAGTTTGTTGGTTAACAATCAAGAATATCATAAAATCTAATAAAATAACAATTCTATTTCGAAAAAAAAACCAAGTCGTCAATACATGTAGATAATAATTTCAATATCACAAATATAACTTAAAACGAATTGGCATATAATATGGTTCGGAAAATGTTTTATTAACCGTCGGAAACGTAGTTGTATTATATATACCGCGCAATTGTGGCTATCACTTGTTCATTACTATACAGGGGTTGTATATGTCTGGTCATTGTCAAATTTTTATTGAACTAATTCACAAAAGAACCTGTAGTCCATCGCCCTGTAATCCATCACACATTGGATACGAGACGCGTGTTGTCTCGCCTACGTGATCTTAGCCTCCATCTTGTGTACACGCCGTTCAATCTCCCGAATCCCAAGGCCGGGATTTCGTCCTTCCGATTCGGAAAGCGATTGGAAGACGCTATACACGGCGGTGTTGATTTGCCAGATGTCAGCCTCTTCTGTTAGAACAATATAAAACTCCACATCCAAGCAAGTCAGTTCTTGTGGCTTCAGGGGCCTAATTCTGTGGAGCGCTCTGCGTGTTCTGATTGACTCCATTGGTGGTATGATGCGAGTCTCCTATCTAGCCGTGTCAACGGGTGGTAGACCTGTCACTTCTACCACTTCGTTAGCAGGCTGGGAAGGAGCTGTATAGCCCTGCCGCAGAAGATGGGATACGTAATCCCTAAGATTTTGGGCGGAAAAGGGGGCATGCTCCGGATATGTTTCACATCACAGAGCATGCATTCTCGCCAAGTACCCTCTTCGCACGGGCTCACTACTCTTGTAGCAATACATAAGGCTATCACTCAAAGCATCCGTTGTCATTGCCAGCGTTGTCATCGGTAGGAAAATCATAATTATGGGTCCCACCACCTTGCCTCTGACCCCTCCGAGCGGGTCGATTGTGGGGGCCCCTTCCTCGATTACCAGGAACCAAGTTTTGGATCTACCGGGTGGTTAGCCCTGTGAACCCTCGGCCGGCACCGGAGGGAGAATGGTATTCTCTTTCCCAGGTGCGTCTGGGCTGCCGGTACGGTCTTGCACTAGTTGCTCGGGTAAGCCGTGAGGCAACTCACCAAAGGCCAAAGGTGTGAGTGGCCATTCGTGCTTATTATTATATTATACCTAAATCTAGGACCCATGTCTTGTTACCTACTACTCTGCACTCCCAAAATCAATGGTTCTGACCCCAAATCGAGGACCTACAACCGAATCAAGGATTTACGATCACGACTTGTTACTTTTCCCATCAACCACACCGTCACTAACGCTACTTCAAAAATCACAAAGACCATCAGTGCCCCATCCCTAAAATCTAGGTTACCCTAAAAACACTCACACTCCAACAATTCACCAGTCAGAAGGTTGACTTCCGGTGATGCGCAATCGGCATTGTATACCTACTCACATGTTATGGTTTTGTAAAATGTTCAGAGAAAATCTAACACTAAAGTGTAGAAGAAGCGTTAAACAATCGGAATGAGCCCTTTATGTTCGGTGTCATTTCAGATAACATATAAGTGGGTAGCTATTGATTGACTGACACTCTTATATTGATGTAAAGCTGAAGCTACTAAACCTAGAAATATGCAGGTAGGTTCTTTGTATAGCGTAAATAAGCATCAAGAAAGGGAATCAGGAATTTCCATCCATAAAGGTGAAAAAATAGGGGTTTAAAAATTGTATTGAATTTCGTCAGTTTTGAAGTTTTGGATTAATAAAAAAATATTGTAATTATTTGTTTAAAAATGGTCTGTCACGAAACTTAATGTGACAAACCAAACTACGCGGGCGAAGACGCGGGATCAACTGGTGATCTATATCTGATTGTCTCACCAATCTGGATAAGACGATTCATTCATAATGTCACGAGTCAAATCTACTCATGTCATTGATGACGGTACGTAGGTAATGCCATTCATTCGCTTATTTGATTTCATTTAATCAAGTTACTGTTATATAAAAGACATTGTAAGATAGTTTGATGTACCAGTTAAAGTAGATGAACAAAGCGGATTCTGGAACGGAAGTGGCTTATCAGTGTTAACGTTTGAATGATAACTAGGCGAGCGCGCTTGAAATGATATGAGAACAATAATAATGGGGTATACAGGGTGTTTTTTTAAGACTCATCAAACAAATGCTATACAGTGTGTGCAGTGTTGAAGAAAAAAACATGATTGCCAGCGTTGAAAAGAAACATAACTGCCTGCGTTAAAGAAAAAAAACATGGCTGCCATGGAGGTATACAGGGTGTGTGCAGCGTTAAAGAAAAAATATGGCTGCTAACCTAAAAGAAAAAACATGGCGTCAATGTGTACAAGGTGTGTGCAACGTTAAAGAAAAAAAACATGATTGCCAACGTGAAAGAACAAAACATGTTGGTTGCTTTACGAGAAATCATAAGGTATACAGGGTGCTGTTTCAAAATACAGCAATCCAATGCTATACAGGGTGTGTGCAGCGTTAAGGAAAAATATATGGCTACCTGTGTTAAAGAAACAGCATGACTGCTAACGTAAAAGAAAAAAACATGACAGCTGTTTGTCGAAAAATCAAGGTATACAGGATGTTGTTTCGGAACACACCAATCAAATGCTGTACAAAGCATGCAGCGTTAAAGAAAAAACATGGCTGCTAACGTAAAAGAAAAAACATGGCGTCCTTTGTCATTTGTCAAATGTTAGGTGTAAAATGTGGGGTGTGGGAACGTCAAAGAATACACAAAGAATACATGAGTTTAATCATGAATTCAAGCCCCTTATTCGAGAAGAAAGGTTTGAAACCTAACCTGTTGGACAGTATGGAAATATGAAGGATCAAACTGAACTGAATAATTCGCCATTATTAAATCTGTTTATTTCTAGGTAAGAAAAGTTAAGTATGGCTACGGTATTTCGTGAAATTTAATTTATTCGTATACCTGATCTTTTCAAGGAGATTCATTCATTAGAAAGTAGACAAACAAGTTGTTGTTGGAATATCTCTTTTTATCAGAAGCGATCTCTCCTGTCAACGAGAGGAAATGCTGGAACCCCGAAACTTTGATGTTATGTCGTTTAAATAATATCACAGAAAATTACCAAATTAATATGCTGCTTTTATCGACCATCTAGTGCACAATATAGGGCACTATTTCTTTCACTTGCAAACACCATTAATTTTCTGCAACGAAAGAAAATGCTGGAACTCCGAAACTTTGATGTTATGTGATTCAAAATAATATCACAGAAGATCACCAAATTCATATGCTGCGTTTATCTACCAACTAGCGATACACAATATAGGGCACTATTCTCTTCACTTTCTGCAAATCAATCATCCCAGTGCCGAAATTTCCACATTCGGTGACTTCAATGTCCACAAAATCGAATGGCTCAAATTTTCAAATATACCTGAAAACCAATCCAGAAATCATAGTCACCGTAAGGTCTCCATTGGGATCTTCTGACCACCAACTCATTTCAGTGTTCAGTGAGTTACCGATAAATGTTGGGGAACAATCTAAGCCGTGCAAAGTTTGGTATTATTGATCAGCTGAATGGGAGGATTTTCACGACCATTTCCTAAATTTCCTCTGGCTAGATGGTTGTTTCATGTCAGATCCATCGAACTTGTGCTTCTGAAGTCACGGAAGTTATATCATCCATGAATGCATATATTTCTTTTTTAATGAAACGACCTTCTAACGGCCAACCTTGGTTCAACAAAACATGCGAGCAAGATGTCGCTTCCAATAATCTCGCCTTCCGGCAGCGTCACAAAAATCTCAGTGCCGAAAACCGAACTAGGTTTGTTGATGCTCACAACAGCTGCAGAATTAGGATAAATGAAAGCAATAAACTCCACATGCTAAAACTGTTAATCAGAACACTAAATCCACAATTCCACCACTAAGCGGATGGTTCAATTTTAACAGCAGCCATAGGAAAAGCATACTAGCTGAAAAATTTGCGTCTCACTCCACAGTCGATTTTCTGGTAAAGACACCACCCACTATTCCCATACTAGAATCCACAATGCTAGAAATTAATTTACGACAGCGTCTAGTCAGATGAATTTTGAAGCAGCTCAATAAAAACAAGGCGTCTGGCTCTGATGAAGTGCCCGTCATCGTACTTACAAATAGCAAATGAACTCACACCAGTATTTTGCAGACTTTTTAACCTGTCTTACATGAAACAGGTTTTTCCTTCTTGTTGGAAGATTGCTCGTGGTCAGCCTATTCAGGACAAGAAAAAGCGTCCAAATAACTATAGGCCAATCGCTTTGCTATCAGTGATATCAAAAATCATGGAGAAAGTCGTGAAACACCATATCTTCGAATATTTGGGTGGCTTCAACATCTTGAGCGATCATCAATATGGCTTTCGTAAACAAAGATCAACAGGCGACCTTCTATCGTATCACCCATATTTGGAATAACGCAATCGAAAAACATGGAGAATCAAGAGCTGTTGCGCTTGAAATTTATAAGGCCTTTGACCGTGTGTGGCATGAGCTTTTGCTGGTGAAATTTCGATGCTATGACTTGTCGGATCATTTTTGTGTATGGCTCTTCAGTTTCCTGAAAGAACGTTTCCTGCAAGTGGCCGTCGATGGATATCTCTCGAATACTTTCACAACTCATCAAACAAATGCTATACAGTGTGTGCAGTGTTGGAGAAAAAAACATGATTGCCAGCGTTGAAAAAAAACCATAACTGCCTGCGTTAAAGAAAAAAAACATGGCTGTCATGGAGGTATACAGGGTGTGTGCAGCGTTAGAGAAAAAATATAGCTGCTAACCTAAAAGAAAAAACATGGCGTCAATAGAAAAAAAACATGATTGCCAACGTGAAAGAACAAAACATGTTGGTTGCTTGTCGAGAAATCATAAGGTATACAGGGTGCTGTTTCAAAATACATCAATCCAATGCTATACAGGGTATGTGCAGCGTTAAGGAAAGATATATGGCTACCTGTGTTGAAGAAAAAGCATGGCTGCTAACGTAAAAGAAAAAACATGGCTGGTAACGTAAAAGAAAAAACGTGGCGTCATTTGTCAAATGTTAGGTGAAAAAGGGGGGGGGGGTGTGGGAACGTCAAAGAATACATGAGTTTAATAATGAATTCAAGCCCCTTATTCGAGAAGAAAGGTTTGAAACTCAACCTGTTGGACAGTATGGAAATATGAACGATCAAACTGAACTGAATAATTCGCCATTATTAAACCTGTTTATTTCTAGGTGAGAAAAGTTAAGTATGGCTACGGTATTTTGTGAAATTTAATTTATTCGTATACCTGATCTTTTCAAGGAGATTCATTCATTAGAAAGTAGACAAACAAGTTGTTGTTGGAATATCTCTTTTTATCAAAAGCGATCTCTCCTGTCAACGAGAGGAAATGCTGGAACCCCGAAACTTTGATGTTATGTGGTTTAAATAATATCACAGAAAATTACCAAATCAATATGCTGCTTTTATCGACCATCTAGTGCACAATATAGAGCACTATTTCCTTCATTTGCAAACACCATTAACTTTCTGCAACGAAAGAAAATGCTGAAACTCCGAAACTTTGATGTTATGTGGTTCAAAATAATATCACAGAAGATCACCAAATTCATATGCTGCGTTTATCGACCAAATAGCGATACACAATATAGGGCACTATTCTCTTCACTTTCTGCAAATCAATCATCCCAGTTCCGAAATTTCCACATTCGGTGACTTCAATGTCCACTATATCGAATGACTCAAATTTTCAAATATACTTGAAAACCAATCCAGAAATTTACATAGTCACCGTAAGGTCTCCATTGGGATCTTCTGAACACCAACTCATTTCAGTGTTGAGTGAGTTACCGTTAAATGTTGGGGAACAATCCTAAGCCGTGCAAAGTTTGGTATTATTGATCAGCTGAATGGGAGGATTTTCACGACCATTTCCGAAATTTCCTCTGGCTAGATGGTTGTTTCAGCTCAGATCCATCAACTTGTGCTTCTGAAGTCACGGAAGTTATTATATCATCCATGAATGCATATATTTCTTTTTTAATGAAACGACCTTCTAACGGCCAACCTTGGTTCAACAAAACATGCGAGCAAGATGTTGCTTCCAATAATCTCGCCTTCCGGCAGTGGCACAAAAATCTCAGTGCCGAAAACAGAACTAGGTTTGTTGATGCTCACAACAGCTGCAGAATTAGGATAAATGAAAGCAAAAACCTCCACACGGGTCTAGATCCTTCTGGTCGGAAGCTAAAACTGTTAATCAGAACACTAAATCCACAATTCCACCACTAACACAAGCGGATGGTTCAATTTTAACAGCAGCCATAGGAAAAGCATACTAGCTGAAAAATTTGCGTCTCACTCCACAGTCGATTTTCTGGTAAAGACACCACCCCCTATTCCCATACTAGAATCCACAATACCAGAAATTAATTTACGGCATCGTCTAGTCAGACGAATTTTGAAGCAGCTCAATAAAAACAAGGCGTCTGGCTCTGATGAAGTGCCCGTCATCGTACTTACAAATAGCAAATGAACTCACACCAGTATTTTGCAGACTTTTCAACCTGTCTTACATGAAACAGGTTTTTCCTTCTTGTTGGAAGATTGCTCGTGGTCAGCTTATTCAGGGCAAGAAAACGCGTCCAAATAACTATAGGCCAATCGCTTTGCTTTCAGTGATATCAAAAATCATGGAGAAAGTCGTGAAACACCATAACTTCAAATATTTGGGTGGCTTCAACATCTTGAGCGATCATCAATATGGCTTTCGTAAACAAAGATCAACAGGCGACCTTCTATCGTATCACTCATATTTGGAATAACGCAATCGAAAAACATGGAGAATCTAGAGCTGTTGCGCTTGATATTTCTAAGGCCTTTGACCGTGTGTGGCATGAGCGTTTGCTGGTGAAATTTCGATGCTATGACTTGTCGGAACATTTTTGTGTATGGCTCTTCAGTTTCCTGAAAGAACGTTTCCTGCAAGTGGCCGTCGATGGATATCTCTCGAATACTTTCACCGTCAACGCTGGTGTTCCTCAGGGATCCATATTGTCTCCAACCCCCCTTTCTATTATATATCAACGACTTATTGAAAAAAAAACAATAATCTAATATATTGCTTTGATGACGACAGCACACATGTCTCGTTATTCCATTTGGATTCCAGGACATCGGCTACGGAGGCACATCTTCACCGGCAACACGAGGTTGCATATCTCAATGAGGATCTAGAACTGGTTTCGAATTGGTGAATGTAACCAGGTTCAATTCAATGCCACAAAAACCCAAGCATCGGTTTTTCCAAGAAGATAGATGTCTCCGAACCGGATATAATAATGTTAGGTCAAACAATTCCGCTTTCTGCTTTGATAAGTTTGTTGTGGGTTAAAATGGACACCAATTGCAAAGGCTGCTTCTCAAAAGCTTGGTACGTTGTTCTGCATCAGAAAACTGTACACACCTCAGCAACTCTTGATGCTTTATAAAGCTCAGATCAGACCTTCTTAGGAATATTGTTTTCATGTATGGAGGTCTGCTCCCAAACATACCCTAAAGTTGCTGGATTCCATCCAGAAAAGAGCCATCCGCCTGATTGGAGACGCGAACATCACGTGCAACCTTGATAGCCTGGAACATCAAATAAAGTTTTGAGATTGGTCTCTCTTCTATAGGTACTTTCATGGGAAGTGTTCAAGTGACTTGTCACATTTGATTCCACCAATAGCGATATATATATCAAAAATACGCGACGGACTGTGGCTGCTCATCGTTTTGAGTTTCAACTCAGTACACCTCGAACTTCACTGTTCGAAAACTATTTCATCTAGAGAAATGCGTTTATGTGGAATAAACGTCCTGAGAACATTTATTCTATTGGATTTAATCTCCAGCGATTCAAATCCAGTGTGAATCACTACTTTCGCACAGGCACCGCTGGGAGAGCGCTTTACGGATTTTTCTGTAGTGTTTGTGTTTTGTCCTTAAAAAAAATTGAACAAAGCAAAACTGCCACTATAAAAAACTGTAAAATATTTAAAATTTTTATTGAGTTATAATCCATCCATGCATTGTCTTTCCTTAGATACATGTTCACTCAATGCACATCTCTCCAGGTGCAACCTTCTGTCACTCTTGTGTGTTCTGATTCGAACCTTTATTAATCTGGATATTTGTCCTATATATTCTTTATCACAGCTGCGGCAAGGTATATAGTAAATCACATTCGAACAGTTTGTGCGGGGAGTTTTGTGTTTCAATTTAGAAAAGCATATACTTTAGTAAGAATATCAGTAAGGAAGGAAGCAATGGATTCTATGGGGAATGAATAAAATTTTGGAGAAACTAAATTATATGAAGTAATTTTTTTCATTTCATCGATCTCAATGTTCATATGTAGAGATTTGATTAATTCTTTTTGGTTTGTATAGAAAAAGTGGGGTCTGAGCGAAGTTCAACATAAGAGCTGTTATTCAGAATGAGATCACTCGATATTAAATCGTATTGATCTTTGTCAATAACAACTGTTACGTTGCCCTTATCTGACTTTGTAATAATTAATATGTTGTCGTTGAGTCCGGGTTGAACCGCTTCTGGAGTTTTGTGTTCGGCGTTTCGGCTACGATTTTGGAGCCATTTTCAAGAAATTGATGTGACTTGACGCCGAGGCCTCAAGCTGCCTACTCCCCAGGACTCGTCAGGAGTTCTAGGGTCTAGGCTCTAGGGTCTCAATCTGCCTACTCCTTGAATTGAACTGAGGTAATGATGGGCGTTCGGTGGTATATCAGCGGGAGCTACTGAAGTGAAAATGTGGGGGCGACGCTTCGGGTGATTACCATCACCGGACGTCTTGGTGGGGTGGTTTCCAGGTAGTTGGAAGTCTGTGACCGTCATCACGTTTGTCCAGGCAGGAAGATCGCTTTTCGATGGCCTCGCGAATTATCTGAGCTTGTATATTTCCGCTGTGGCGACGGCCTTAGTGTTTGCAAAGTCAATCTTGTTTCCTGTACCTTGATGATGTTTGGACAAGGCTGAGGATGGGTCTGACTTTCGGACAGCAAGTTGATGTTCTTATACTCTACTTGTCACACGTCTGTTGGTCTGGCCTACATATGTTTTATGGCAATCGGAGCATGGAATCTCATATATACCTTGGGATTCATTGACAATTTTGTCCTTAGGGTACCAGAAGCCCCGCCCCCACATTTCCAATTCATTACCTCTCGCCGATATAAATACCACCGAACACCCATCGATACCTGAAGAGGCATAATAAGCCTATAGCAGGGTCCCAGCAAATCATATAATAACATTTTAAAATAACCCCAAAAATGTATAATCATGATCAGGCAGCCCATCGATACCTCAGTTCAATTTAAGGAGAAGGCAGATTGAGACCTTAGAGATATCTCGTGGCGAGCCCTGGGAAGTAGGCAGATTGAGGCCCCGGCCATCAAGTTCACTCCGATAAGTTACTGTGTGAATTCACAGTACACAAAGAAAAATATTCTGTTCATCAGTAACTTGTCCTATTCAATAATTTTGTTTATCAAAAAAAGCTAAAAAATGATACAATACTTATCTTAACGTTTCGTCTTCAGCAGTGGACAAAAATCAAGTCTATACGCAGTTCTTCCCTGGCTTATTTTTTATTTCCCAACGTCTTCAACAGATGTCAAAAGAAAACTAACTAATATACATTATTGTATGATTTTCACTATAAAGGGTTTTACAAAAACCGCGGCACGTGTTTCGCTATACAATAGCTTTCACGAGAAGTCCATTATATAGCGAAATACGTGTCGCGATTTTTGTAAAACCCTTTATAGTGAAAATCATACAATGAAGTTTATGAGTTAGTTTTAATATGGATGTTCATCAAGTATCGGCCAGTTATATTCAAAATGTCAATTTTCAGATGTTTCAACTGCAGATCGGCTTGAACTGGTTTGTAGTACAAGACCAGCTCAAGGTAATAAATATGCAAGTCTTTTCGGAGTACTAAATCACTGTCAGACCAAAATAGGTGCACGGACATTGAGATCCATAATTCTCCAGCCACCATGTGATGTTAATTTGATTACTGATCGTCTGAACTGCGTTGATGAGTTAGCTAAACATCCTGAAGCATTATCTTCTTTGCGGGTAATATATCAAATAATTTAAAACAAATGAATACACAATTTTTTCAGGTCCTCCTACAAAAACTGTCTAATATTGATTCGCTCCTAAGTATTGGAACACTGGTTACAAGTGACCCGCAAAATCTCTCAATTCGCCAGCTCAACTATGTTCTGCATTTAAATAGTTTATTGGAACTCATCGATCCTCTGAAAGAGGTAATAATCGAATTTGAACAACCCTTTTTTGTTCAACTGAGAAAAACATTAGAGAATAAGAACTTTATTGAAATCAAAAATTTGGTGAGGAAATCGATAAATGAAAATGTTTATCCATCAAAAGGACAATCAGCGATGTTACAAAGATGTTTTGCAATTAAACCTGGCATAAACGGTTTATTGGATTTAGTCAGAAAAACTTATACAGAGATTATGAATGATATGAAAGGTAAGAATAGTTTTCAAAACAGTATTGATATTTTCGTTTATTTTAATGGTACTGAATCAGGTGAAACTGTTTTTGTTGGTCTTTGAAGATTTTTCACTTTTCACGAACTGAAAAAAATAAAAATTGTAATGATTTCCTTGATGACTTTTGTTCGAATTTGTAATCTGTTATATAGGATAGGAATAGGATGAAGTTTAACTGTAATAATAAACGTCAACTGTTAATTTAAAAACCGAAAGTAAAACTATAAACAAGTAGAGTCGCCATATGAACATGAATAAAAATTGAATTCAAAACCTATGAAACGTGATACTATATTTCTCGCTACCAAAACAAAAGAAGGAATTAGTGTTTCACTCAGTCACAATAACGAGCAGGTAGTTTTCGGTTTGGGGACGAGTTTCTTCTGAGTTCCGGAAAGACCGCCTGTTTTTCTTGAATAATGTCGTCTTTGGCTGTATGCCCATGTTCACAGGTTATGTCATGTTTTCTTTGGTAGAATCTTCATCTTGCAATACATTAGAAACACATGCCATGAAAGGTTTCTCAGAATCCTATGCATGTTACTGTTTTTGTCCCGCTTGCTTAGGTTGATTCAAACGAAGTCTCAACTGGTCTCCATGTTTTTTTGGTGTTCCATTTACCCCAATGATGTATTGATATGGTATATTTTGATCCATTGCGGGTCCTGTTGTGGATCCTTTACCTAGTTTATTATTCACCCAGACTGCTTGATTAGGATGGAAGATCGAATCCTTTGAACCACGATCATGTTTTTCGTTTCTGATCAACTTCAGCCTTATCCATGTTTCCGACTGTCAGGTTTCATTTGGTCGAACAGAGACATAAATGTCGACCAAACATCAAATCGCTTGAAGCCCTACCTGTCGAACGTTGTGTAGTATTTCGATCAGCAAGGAACTTTGTTGACGTTCACCCTGGTTTTTCTCTTCTCCACTAGCTGCTCTTTCTGCGAGTACATTTTTCTCGGGTTTTGTCTCAGTGTTGATTGAATATGTCTGATACAGTAAGACTTGTAAAATAATCCGAACTCTTCAGCGGTTAACTGAGAACCATTATCCAACACAAATATTTTCGGATAACCTTATTACTTCATGAAGCACATTGATTGTTAATAACGTGGTGATCTCGTGCCAGGTATATAAGCATCTATTATGATAAGTCACATTTTTCCCTCGAACGGTCCGGCAAAGTCTATACCTATGAACTCGCGACCATGGTTCCGAAGAAGCATTCCATAGATACAATAAAAGTTTGATTATTTTGTTGAGATTCTTGAAAAGAGGTACAAGTTTTTACGAAACTTAAGATTTCATTGTCCACGTCTTAAGTTTTTACGAAACTTAAGATTTTATTGTCCACGTTCGGCGGCCAGTACACATGTAAATGTACACTGGACTGCATGGCAGTTATACCAGGATGTCCATCATGAAGCATCATCAATACATCATGTCGAAGTGCTTCTGAAATACATATTTGTCCTTTCCAAACAAGAATATTTTCTTTAAACGAAAGTTCCTCATGTTTTCCGAAGTATGGAAGTATTTCGTCAGGTAGTTGTCTTTTATCAGCCAATAGGATTGCATGTATCTTATTACTCTTTTGTTTCCAGACCATGGAGTTGTAATTCCATTTCGAAACATTTTATTTACGTCCCGGAGAAAATTTCTCAAACTAAAAATATTACAAGTATTTTGTATTAGTTAGCACTATTCGCTTAAACTTGAAAAACGTAATTCAAACTATCCGGTAGGTTCAACTCGTTGGCTGCTTGTGTCGAATGTTTTTGTCGTACTGTTCCTTAGGTTTTTTTCGATATTGTAACGAATTAAAGAATTAACTGTCCTAAACAAATTTATTTTCAACACTATTTCACTGTCACAACTAATTTATATTCAACACTTAGCAACTAACTCTTAATTTATCTTCACTCTTCGAATTCTTTATTTGAACGCACGATTTGCTTTCTGAATACAGACTGCTGCTCGAGACGGGAAGCGGCCTTTTTATATCGGCAACGATCGCTCCAGATCTCTCTATGGGTTTCGGCACTCATCTATAACTTTCGCGGTGGTTCGCGATGAGTCATGTGTTTGCTGGCTGCGATATCGGTCAGGGCCGGCTTCAGATTCCTTACAGAACAATATCATCTATTTCGAGAGGATTATTTTCATTGTGTTATTTGCTTCTTTTAATTATTGATGACACATACTCACTTGAACAACGTTGCCAGAATATATCGGCAATCTTCTGAGCTGCCTTCCATTTCTTCAGGAGATGTAAATTTGTTTTTTCAATCTTTGAATAAGGTAATGCCGCATATAATGGCCCAATCAAAAAATTGTTTGGAGTCAGTGCATCAGAATCATTTGGATCAGTTGATACGTGCGTCAGTGGTCGGGAGTTCAAAATGTTCTCTATTTCTGCGAAGGCTGTCCTCAAGACATATTCTTGGGGATATCTTTCCCTTAAAATTTCTTTCAAATGTTTTTTGATGGATTGTATCAAACGTTTCCATGCGCCAACAATATGTGGTGCTAACGGTGGGTTGGATATCCTTTTTGCATTTTTCAGTGTGCACTGTTTTTGGAATTCCTCTTGGTCCATATTCTGAAGATTTTCTGTCAGTTCCGCTTCCGCNGTTAGCAATACAGTAGATGAACAAACTTGGTCCGAGCGCAAAATCCCATGTATTTTCTTATGGAGCTAAACTTTTTGCATCCGAGCGAAATCTTTTTTTAACCCTCCCCCCCTACTACTTTTTATATTGATATTTTAGATATAATTATGAATTTTAGAATTATGTTGTATATTTTTTCATTTAGTGTAGCTAAAAGCACTGTTATATTTGTTGGACACGAAACATTCTAGGAAAGTAAATTATTTAAGAAATCCGTCCGGAACAGTTCGAAGTTGGGACATATGAATAGGATGTGATTTATATCCGCTGAAGAAAAATTGTCCACAAGAGCATAATGGATTCACATCAATGCCTATTTTTGCCGGATGTGTAGGGAACTTACCATGGTTCATTTTCATTCCTGTGATGGTAGAGGCGTAAAATCTTGAAAAGTTGGAGTTGTCTATGTGGGGGATACTTTTAGGGATAGTGGGGTGGATTAATGAATAATGATTTTTTGATTTAGAAGAGAATTCTTTGCAGAGTCTTCCCCAATTAAGTCGTATTTCATATCTAATATCTGAGACTATATCTTGCAGGCAGCTGATATCAGTTATCAATTCTAGAGAGGTGGCTTCTTTCTCTGCCACATCTACTTTTTCATTTCTGGCAATACCCGAATGGCCTTTGATCCAAATGAAAATAATGTCAATTTCATTACAATAAAGTTTTTTTATAATTTCAAAAATAAGTGAATTTTTATTGATATGTCTTTTGTAGTTAGTGAGGGAAAGAAGGACAGATTTTGAATCCGATAAAATGAGTGAACTAGCTTCGCCATTATGTTCAACCCACAAAAGCGCTTGAAGTATAGCATAAGCCTCTGCTGTGTAAATCGATAATCTTGTGGAACACCCAACTTGAGGTAGGTGTGTTTCGGAGAGTGAAAGAGAGAAACGTGTGACATAATCGATGCTGGATGGAATGAGTATCGGAGAGATTCAAAGAGTGTGGACCCCCTTGGGACTCCTTCTCACCCCTCGGGCCCCCTTGTCACTCCTTCTCACCCCTCGGGCCCCCTTGTCACATATCAGTCACGTAGTAATCGGCAGCTGAGTGAAATCAAATTAAAAAAAGTTTACAGGTTTATCGTCGGCGTGGTAAACGTTGTCCTTAGCCTCGACACCAACGTGAAATATTGGAAGTAATTGCAAATTGTTGATATTTATGGCGGTTTTTTTCAACTCATGGCTGGACGGGGAGCAGCCGATTCGGGATTGGTTTGTCGAGGAGCGGACCGTTCCTATCCCTAAAAGCGGAGATTTATCGATTCCTAAGAATTACAGATAACATGCTTGAATTCGTGTTATAAGTTGTTTACAAGCATCTTGTACACACGAATACCCACCGCAGTTGACCGAGTGTTCGAACGGATATATGAGCAGAGAGAGTCGAAGAGAGGAGTCGCTGGATGTAAAGAGAACCTGCTCATCGATAGATGTGTAACCCAGGACTCTATATAATATAAGTGCAACCTCTCTATGACCTGGATCGATTACCGTTAGGCATTTGATACAATATCGCATGAACTCAGATGCTCAGATGCTTTGCGGTGCCCGACGAAATAGTGAGATGCATTGAACAACTGATACCACTCTGGCGAACTGGCTTCACCATAACATCTGGTCAAGCCAGAGTCCAAACAGGGTGGGTCACTTTTATAGGGGTGTATTTTAGGGCGATTCCCTCAGCCCCCTTCTGTTCAACACCTCACTATTGACATTATCCGTTGCGCTTAGAAATACTCGAGAATATAACTGTGGCACCCTCAGAAACCGGAGGCACAAGGTCACCCATTTGTTTTATATGGATAATCTTAAACTTTATGCCTCAGGAGAGAAGGATCTCCATCAGTCCTTGAGGGCGGTATGAAATTCGGGATAGACAAATGTGCAATGGTCCATCTCAAAAGATGATGATGCGGGGACTACGGAGAGGATGGGCAGCTCGTAGATGGAAGCATCCTACACCATTTGGATGCCGGAAAGACGAATACTTACCTCGGGGTGGAATAACGCTATTAACAAGAGGTAACAGCAGCCTTTGAAATACAATTCTGAAATGTATTCTTCAAGTGAATGTTTTAGTAAAGACACGCCTGAAGAAGTCATTGTATGACGAAACACGTGCTGCGTTTTTGTAAAAGTGTTCAGTGAAAATCTCACAATGAAGTGTTTTTTGAATACAATACGTCAGTTATGGATCTTCATCAAGTATCGGCCAATTCCATCATGTAACAAAACAATAGAAAGATAAGTAGATCATACACAAGTTTCTTTCAGATACAAACTGGAAGAAAAATTCATTTTGAAACATCAACTTTCACATGATCATTGAATTACTTACATTAAAAAAAAGTCCATTCGAAATAACAACTTCTATATAAACAATGAATTACACGAAAATAATTTTTTTCTATTAGGTTTGTATTCCTAACATCCCCTATGGGATTGAATCAGATATCATTCACAGGAACGCCACACAATCTAATATATAAAAGAGTATTGGTATAAAATGTTACTCACGTGGAACACCATCTTTCTCAACTACTTGAATGAATCTTGAATTATACGAAAATCACTGTTTATTTCGCGACCGCAAAATTTAGATCTTTCCGATACAGGCTATGGCCTCTAAAAGCAGAAAAATAGAATGAACAAAAACGACTTAAGGCTAGCAGAATACTCCTGCTAAACTATGCAACTTCTCCCAAAACATCCATTCACAAGTAGAAGTCAGTACCAGTTCAAATAACAAGTCGTATTTTTATTATTGATTCAAAAAAATTACTACAAAAGGTAATGATCCGTAGGTACTCAAAATTATCAAAGTTGAAGGTGACCTATGTGACATTCTGTATGAAAATTGTATCAACATATTTTGGTAGCTCATTGACAGATCCTATAGCAAAGTGCGGATGTACTTTAAATATCCCTGTAAAAAAATATAGCAAAAAATTAATTTTCGAAATTTTCGTTATTTTCCGTATATTTTCGTTACCAAAAAAACAAATTAAATTTTTTGGTATCACTTATTAGTATTATAGAAATAGGTGGCTCCTACTCACTTCCTTTAACCATTTCCGAGATTCCCCTGAATAGACTCGAATTTGAATTACTCTGTATCTGTAGAGTAGCGAGGGTGAGTGTAGACTCACAGCACTTAGGCCACATGTGACCCATTGTACATCCTCCCGAGGAGTTGTCCTCCTAGGTCATCGTCCATTATGTCCTTTTCAGGAAGGTGGACAGGTCACTAGGAGACATCTCCTTTATATTGGCAGGTGTAGGCCAAGATTTGCCAAACACACACTCTCTTTGGCAACCTTGAGGTGTCTTACGGCGGTCTTTGTGAAGGTTTTGGAAGGTACAGCGACATTACTGTCGTTGCGCGGCTTCTTCAACCTTCTTGGGATTCCCTCCGTGGAGGTGCTCAAGTAAGAGCGCTTCCTGCAGGGGCAGCCGGTTCCTTGCCTTTATTCACAGCGGAGCTCTTGGCGCCCGCCGCAGAAAGTGCCCTTGCTGTTGGAGGAGGCGGGTGCACTTATAGTTGCTGCCACTCCTGCCTCTATCGCTCTCTTTCTCCTTTTGGCCTCGGCGCCGCAAATGCGCTTACGCCTTGTCCTCTGTAGCATATCAGGAGGTGATCTGCCATGTCCAGCCTCATTCCAAGTGGTAGATTGGGATGGACATTTCTGTTCATCCCCAGCCACCTCCAGAAATTGAGGTGAGCATTTCTGTCCAGTCTCGGAATTGTTTTTGGTTTTTTCTGTGTCTGTTTTTTTGTTTGTTTCATTCATGTGTGTTCCCACGAGTAGCAGGGGAAGAGTTGATCACTCTGGTAGAGCCCCGCATCACCAGAGGAAGGCTGATTACAATGAAATTTCGCCCGTTTCCCCAAGGGGATCATTCGTAACCGCATATCACCCTGCGGCCATTCAGCTGTCGGCACGATTCCTTACACCTTACCTTGGGTAGGCTGGTCCACGGTGGCATGTTTCGCAAAGGCTTTTGAGGAGTTTTGGTTCCCCTCACCCTACTTATTTCTGCCACTGACCAGGAGTCTGGCGACCCCGTCCGTAAGGCTACATTGGCTCCCGGCACAGGGCTCCCAGTTCCCTGGTCGTTCCCATATCCGTCACCTGGGGACGCGCCCGATAGGTAGCCCAACCCACGGGGAATAGCTCTGTATTTTAAGGATATTCAAAATCAATAAAATATAATAAAAAAATATCCATAAAAAACTATACAAAAAATTAATTATTTGAAACTCACATTTGAATGATATAAATAGGATTCAAACAGATGAAATACTCGCTTGCTGATCACAATTGTATACGTATGTAAAATGTTCAATAATTCAATTTCAGAATATGTCAAAACATTAGCAGAGAAATATGATTTAGCCTTCACTCTCGGAAATAATCAGACCAAAGGACCTCACATAATATTGTACCTGAATAGCATTCAAAGAAAGGGCTGGAAGAAATCCTGTATACCTGAGGAGTTCATTGAGGTAAGAATAAAATCATAATATGAATAAGTTTCAGTTGATTACTTTCATAAAATGAAATGTAGGGTGTCTCCAGAGACTCCAATAAATCCAAGATATTGTCAGAATATTTAGTGACACTCAAGCCAGTCCATTTTCTCTTTGACCAATGCGTAATAGTAACCGAATTCAACGCCAGAACCATAGTGAACAATACCTGCATGGAGATTATAATAGTGATCTGCTAGATTGAAGTGTTCATCTATTTCGAACCTTCGTAAGAGTTTGGTGCTTCCATCAGAGGTTGAGGCATGTTTAAAAATCATCAAAAAAATTAGAATATTAGATGTACTGCTGAGCCGATTTTTTTGGTAACAATTCAATTGAAGCTCTTTTGGAAGCCTCTTCAAAATCGTCAGGAACACGCAAATCCTCACTATTGGTCTTCATTATGGAAGACATTAAACGCCAGCAAGATCTTCAAATGTGACTTTAAATAAAACGCGTGAGCTGTTAACAAATACTGTTTGTTGGTAACCAGGTGATTTGGCGTCACCTGACACGGCCACTTCACAGCAAATGCAATAACATGAAAATAGTTAAATGACAAGAGATGTCAAAATGTGTTTTTGAAGAAATAATAAATACATCTATTTTATTATGGAAACAGGACAGTTGTACAAAAACTTTGTATGATATTTGTGTTGAAAATGAGTTTTATTTTGTTCGTTAAACTTTCTCACTCACAAAATAAAACCTTACTTTCAATACTCAGATCATTAATAGCTATTATTTAGTACAAGACATATATCGAGATCACCATTCTCGATGAGTCTGACTTCGAACAAGTAACAAATGGATAAAGTGAGATATTTTTTACTCTCTGAAGAATATCTCTTGACGTTCACGCTTGCGCTGGAGCAACGTGAACAGATGAAATTTGCCAATCTAATTCTTGAGAAGTTATGAAGCAATGAATGTATTTTCATGCGAATTGAGAAGTTTAGATTCGAATAATTCAATTTCTGATGTTCTTAAACTTGAACATCTACAACATCGAAATTCTCAGCATCTGTTCTAAAATCATTCGAAATTGAATCATTACTGAAATATTTTGGTGTAAATGCTATTTCAAGAGATCACTTGATTCGTAAGATGAAATGATAGTGATCAGATCAATTCGAACCAAATAGTATTGGAATGAAAGAAATTGAGTGTGCTAATGAAATAAAAACAATTCGTTGTTGCTCCCACGTAGTTGCTGCTATTTATTTTCATCCAATACACGTTTTTGATTCGAAATAATTGGGTTAGCGGAAATATCAACTATGCTCTTCACCATCGAATAAGTTCAACTGGTTTCTGAAGACGATATTGATGAAGATCTGCTCTTCATTTTGGAATTTTGAAATGAATAAAATAAAATTCATTATTCTCACTAAAATAATTTCCTTTCATTATGCATTGGATACGAACCTCAGCACTCAAAAATTATGTGAGAATATTCAGTTTTACTTCTTGGAGAATCGATGGAATTTGCTTTTTGGCTTTTACTTCTATCTCCACTCGTGAGTATCACAGCAAATAAAGCAAATACTCCAAAAATATACTGCTCCCAACATGAGTGGAAAAAAATGTTCCATGACTGTTCAACTTCAGTGAGGTGAACATTTTGGAAAATAGAAAAAATAAGGTTTTCGATTTTTTTTCCAGAGTACATAATATTGAAATATCATTTGAGTATTAATATTTGATTGAGTGATATTGATTGGGTATTAATATGTATCAAATTCAAATTTGTCTCCAAAATTGCCCGAATGTTTGTCTCTCATAAAATCGGTTGAACAATGTCAGAGATACGATTTTTTCAAAAACGTGGGAAAAATCCGTAATGCGTTTCGTGACTACCTGGCAGTCGGAAAATTTACACAGACTTTTATATTTTTCATCGTGAACAGTATGCTATAGATCCGATAGCGATATCGTGGGGGCACATTTTACCATCTTAACCGGTTATGCTTTCTTGAAGAACAGTGCGACAGTCAATCAGAAAAAATTGCAGAAATGAAAAACTGATGAAAAAGTGTTGGTTAAATGAAAGTCAAATGGATGGATAATGATCAGATGGCGAAATGAACGAATGAGATCAACATAACACTGATTTCTAGATACATTATCATTCCCGTTGTCGTAAGGATCGTTCAACCAGAACTGGTTTTGCATATTTTGTGACCGAACAGTCCTCGAAAACTGATGAATACTCTTAATCTACTTATGATGGTTTCAGTCAAATTGCTAAATAAGTGACCCGTTTACGGTACCAGTAGGTTGCCAAGCAATATGCTCAAAAATTGTGGAATTATTTATTTATTATCAGTGTCAGGCGATGACATGTACTCATGCGAAGATGTCATCTATCGGATCAACAGAAGACTCAATACACGAATGTCAAAGATAAATCAGGCTTTTCAAGGTGGTTTGAGTCTTCTCTCGATCCAATTGCTGGCGTTTTTGTAAGGAAGAGTGTCATTGCCTTCAGATCCTCAGTAAAATGAAAGTCAAATTGAGTTAATGATCACATGGCGAAATGAACGGATAAAATCAACATAACACTGATTTCTAGATACATTATGATTCCTGTTGTCGTAAGGATCGTTCAACCAGAAATAGTTTTGCATATTTTGTGACCGTACAGTCATCGAAAACTGATGTATACTCATATTCTAATTATAATGGTTTCAGTCAAATTGCTAACTAAGTGACCCGTTTACGGTACCAGTAGGTTGCCAAGTAACATACTCAAAAAACTGTGGAATCACTTATTTATTATCAGTGTCAGGCGATGACATGTACTCTTGCGAAGACGCCATCTATCGGCTCAACAGAAGACTCGATACATGAATGTCAAAGATAAACCAGGCTTCCCAAGGTGGTTTGAGTCTTCTCTCGATCCAATTGCTGGCGTTTTTGTAAGAAAGAGTGTCATTGCCTTCAGATTCTCAGGCTCACCTTTCGTGGACAGTTGGGTTCAACAATGCATCCGTGGTTCAGTTCAGCCTGGATGCTAAAATCACTCACTTAACACTGTAGTGTTTTTAATAACAAACTCACCACAAATATAACAAAAACTGTCAGCAGAGTTCTTACAACCGCGATTAGACATTTTAATGAGCAAATGTACTGGAAACCAGAAAGTAAGGTTAGGTTGACAGTAAACAAAACATCAGCTGTAAGCAGAACAATATAATTTCCCTTTTTCTGGACGATAAATGTGTTTCAGCAGTGCTGCCAACTCTTCTACATCCAGCACAAATTATTTTACAATTTTATTTGTAGTATATAAAAGCTGTTAAATTCTGTAATGAATCAAAAAAATTCAATATATTGATAATAAGGTGTTTTTTCATCGTTAGCCTGTGTTTTTGGAAAGAGCGGTCAACATACATACATATTTTTCGATATTCCAGACATCATTGACTCAATTTGAAATCATCAGGAATTTTTTTCATTCAAACGCTGGATCAACTTTTTCAGATAAAGCTGACTCTTCAAGATCATTCTATATGAGACTGTCTGATAACTGAGCAGTAGACTACGTAATGTTAAAGATTTGAAAAGGAAACGATTAGATACGAAAGTTTTCCGAATTACTTCGGGAAATTGTTGGTAAAACAGGAATTGAATGTATCCATCACCTTTGGACCGCATTATATGAATGTAATAAATAACAAATAACCATAATTATCCCAAATTTCAAATTATCATTCCAGCCTCACTCTTCCTTTCTGATTATAAAATAAATGAATATTTGTCCACCTAAACATGAATATTATCTTTTGTTTTAAATTTTTATTCATACACAAGTTATTTTTGGCGCCACAGGAAACTCGGGATCAAGACCTGCCGCCTATCAATCTTTGCAAAAACAACCAACAAAAATATCGCACTCGATTACCGTGGGGGTAAAAGTGGCGCGTTCACCAATGAAAATTCCTTTCCATCACTGTTTCTCTTTACCCCTATATTTTAATAGGCTGATATTTTGTATGTAGGTTCGTTTCATGTAGTAAATGTGTAATAAGAAAGCATTTTCTAATATTTCAACTGAGGCGCCCCTACTGAGGATAAAAGGGGAGCGTTCACATAAGAAAATTACTTTTTCAGCACTGTTTCACCGTACCGGCATATTTACGAAGACTGAAATTTTGTATGTAGGTTCGTATTACATTTTAGATGTGCAATATGAAAGAATTTTTAAATAATCGAGCTGTGGCGCCAGCCGCGGGGAAAAAAAGCGCGTCCTTAAAACAAAATTATTGTTTCATCACTGTTTCTTCATAGCGGTGAAGGATGAAATGTTATATGTAGGTTTGTTTCATGTTTCAGATATGAAATGAAAAACGATTTTGGAATATTCCAAGTAAGACGCTAGCCGCGAGGGAATAAGTTGCCTTTAATAATAATAATATAGTAGTTTATTAACCATTTGTTGGTACGCTAGGTACATATGGTAGGTCCTTATAGTATAATATTACAATTTGTTACACTAAAAATATACGGACATATGTATAAATAAATAAGTAAATAAATAAAATCTGTCAATTTGTACATATGAATTTGAGTGTCTGTATATAAAAATAAAAATGAACATAAACAATCAATATTGTTAACCATTAAAAAGGTAAAAGTCATGAAAGATTTGTGTCTATCGAATTATCGTTCATAAACTCTTGGTAACTGTAATAGCACTTTCTAAGTGAAAAGATTTTAATTTTGTTGTGAAATACCTTATCATTGGTAATTTGTTTCAGCTGATTTGGTAACTTATTATAACAACTGAACACATTGTACCGTGGGGAGTTCTCATATAATGAAGTTTTGAAGCTCAAAAAAGCTCCATGCTGTGTATTATGTTCGTGTTCAGATCCATTTGACGCAAAAACAGATAAGTTATGTCTTGCGAACATAGCACATTTAAACATATGAATGGATATGGGGTTAAAATCTTTTTTTCTATAAAAATA